AATCCTGCCCACCCCTCTCCCCCCACCCCGGGCACACAGGGCTCTGTGGGGCAACTCCAGTGTTGGAGAAGTCTGGGGCACGTCAGCACCAGGAGCACCCCTGGGCAGTGTCTCCTCCCCTGTGCCGTGTCCCTGGGGGAGTAGGTGATGCCCATACCCGGGGGGGTCCCTGGGATGGTGGGAGGAGATGCCACAGCATCTGGAGCCACAACAAACCTCCCACCCCTGCCTGGCTACGTGAGGAGGGTGCTCTGGGCATTTACCCACGGGGGCTGAGCCAGCTAGCCCCCCCAGAAACAGCATAAGAGGAAGGTCAGGGTGAGCTTTGCCTGCAGACCCATGCCACAGCACCGGGAGAGGCTCTCCAGAGGGGCTGGATCCCTGCCAGCAGCTTGCAGCATCACTGCAGCCCCCCAGATCGCTGCTGCGAGCCCCCCGCCCCTGGCATGCCCTGGCGAAGGCAGCACAGGACACACCGAGTCTCAGCAAAGACGCATGGTGTCCTTACTTCTCACGGTTGGTGTGGGCCGAATGCTCCTGAAATGCTTGTTTTTCCTTCGCAGGGCCATCTTGTACTGCAGGGAGAGACGGATGGTGGCTTGACGAGCTGGCCATGGCGAGCAGAGTCCCGTGGCAGCTGGAGCCAGCCGGGCTTCGCCCAGTGATGGGTGCAATCCCTCCATCACCCCCAGACCCCCAGACCTGCACCCCCTCATCTTGGTCTGGCACTGAAATCACCCACAATGCCACATCGGGTGCTTTCCCAGCCAGGACCCTGTGCTGGACCCAAGGTCCTGAAGCAATGGCCAACTGGAGGGGCCATGCGTGGCCAGGACCAGCCTGGGACACTGCAAGGACACGCTCCCGGTGCCAGCAGGGCGGGCAGCACAGCCAGGCAGGCCAATGGTCCTGTTTCCCAGCACTAATTGCCTTAGCACTGCCCTGGGGGGTGCTGGGGGTGCGTGTGCCCAGAGGCTGCGGTGTTAAGCCCAGTATCATCCCATAAGGCGGATGAAAGGCGGTTATAGCGCCGGCATCACGCAGTACCAGCAGGGTCAGACCTACCTCCTCCACGGCGAGGTCCGGAGGATTCCTGCTCCTTGCCAGCACGGCAGCATCGTCCTCATCCAGCTCCGGCAGCAGTGCCGGGAGGTCGAGTCCCTGCTTGGGGAGGCTCTCTGCCTAAAACCATTAGGAAGCGCTTAAATTATCCCAGGGCTGAAGTGCGCCCAGCCACCCTGAGTGCTCCGGGCTCCTCTGCTTCCTACCCGCGGCCAGGATTTGTGAGCGGATTTAGGCCTGATTAGCTGGCTGCCAGCCCCGGTGCAGCTGCCCCGTGCCTGCCCTGGTGCACGAGCGGCCGGTGCCTGGCTTCACCCCGGTACCCCCCCCACCACGCAGCAGCTCCCGGGCTTCGTTCCGGACACTAATGCTGCTGTCACCGTGCTGGGAGAGGATTACCTGGGAGGCAAACCAGCCTGGGTGGGAATTGTCCTGACCAGACATCTGTGGTCATAGTGTTGGCTGCTGCCTGGGCAATGCCAGGGTACCCAGACCCCCATCCGAGCCCCACATCCCCATCCTGCAGGGTCTGGCATTCCCCAGTGCTCACCAGTTTGCACTGGGCGATGGTCAGGTCTCCCAGCACAGTGTCAACGATGCAGTCGGCCACGGCGGCTGTGACAGACAGCTTGATTTCACTGGGAGCGGAGAGAGGGGTGTCAGGCCCAGTGCCCACCACCCCATGGCCATCCTCCCATCTCCGCTCAAGGAGAGCCTTGCTGGGGGGACGGATGCTTGGCTGTGGCACCCAGGACACGCTCTGGGCTCACTGGGTGCATGTTGCCAGAACAGGAATGGGATCAGGCACTGGCTGGGATGGAGGATGCCAAGTGCATCCCTGCATCAATGGCTGGGGCTCCCCTCTGCCAGCCACAGGGACGTGCCTGCAGGAACATCACCCCATGGGACTTCCCAGCTCCCTAGGGACAAATCTGAAGCAGGTCTAAGTGGGAAGCAAAGCCACATCTGGGAAAACACAGCGGCAGGACCCAGCACACCACCACCATGTGGGGAGAGGAGCAGTTGGTAGGGAGACCCCAAAGCCCCCATCTGTCCCCGTGGGTGAGAGCCACGAGAAGGAAGGACGGGATATGACCCACTTCAGCTTGCTGAAGACATCGGTGATCATCTGGTCCAGGACGGCGCTGAGGTTGAGGTGGTCCTGGAGGTAGATCCGCTCCGACATGGCATTGACCAGCTGGTCCCGGACCCCGCTCTTCTGCACCACGGCTGGGCAGAGGCTGAGCGCTGTGTCCAGCGCTGCCTGCATGATCGCCTGAAGGTTGGGGAGGAAAGCGGAGTTTTGGGTGTCTTTTCCATCAGAATTCACACGGTGTCCGGGAGACACCACGTTCCTCATCCTCGGGCCAAAGCTGCCCACCTGGATCTCCCGGCCGCAGGTCTGCGACGCCTCCTCTGTGAGACACTCCAGCTTGTGCTGCAGCTTGCCGTTCTGGTACGGGGTGTTTCCCGCTTCGTACAAGAGGGGCAGGATCTGACACAGGAAGAGAGATGGCATGGATTATCCCCTGGCACCTCATCCTTGCTTTCCATCCTTTCATGTGCAGCCTAGATCCGCCTGCATCAGCTCCCGGACCCTCAGTTCCTTCCCCCCCGCCGCCACTGACCCTCCTTCCCACACTGCGCCCAGCCATGCTGATGCCTACAAAGGGGAAGACCCTTTCCCATCCCTTCCACTTCCTTTCCACCATCGGTACTGTTCTCTTAAATCCTGTCTCCATCAGATTAAGTACCCAGGGAGGTGCCAAGAGAGTTGGGAAAAAGGAAAAAGAGGTAGTTGGAGGAGAAGTAGAGGAGGAAAAGGTACAGTGGGGAGAGAAGCAGAACCAGGAAGATCAAACCAGGGCTGACAGTGCCAGGAGCTGCCCACCCAACATGGTGACCTTCCTCAGGGGCTGATGGAGCATCCTCATCCCTGGGCTGCATCCAGCTGGGGGGCTGAGAGTGGAGGTACCCCAAGGCGGGACCCACCCCCGGGATGCAGGGAGTGTTTCTCACCAGCGCGGGCATCAGTGGGTTGCAGGGTGTGCCCAAAGCTGGAGCACCCACCTCTCCCAAATGAGGGTGCACGAGCAGGGATGCCCTTGGCGAAGAGGGAGTGTGCCAGTACTCCCCAGTTCCCAGGGGTGCGTGCACACACCTGTGTGCATGGCAGGAGCGGGGTGGATTAAGAACCTTTGGGGGCTATTTCTAGAAGGGGACTCAGAAATTCGCAGCTGTTTTTAACATTTTGCAAGTGCTCAGTGATGCGCTTCTGTTGCATTGAAATCCTGCTGCTCCCCGACTGCTGGTTAATTATGTCGTTAACTAATCGATAACCCGCTTCGATCCGAGCTGAACCGAAGGCGGGGGAGCCGAGGGGTTTCCCACACGGCAGACTCACGCTGACGGAGAGGTTGGCGTTCCTGATGGCCTCCTCCGCGCAGAGGATGTCCGCCTCCACCTCCCTGCCCGGGCAGGGGCTGAGGACGTCGACCTGCTTCTGCACGCTCAGGCAGATCTCGTTCACCAGCTGGAGTGCAGAGAGGCTGCGTCACGCGCCAGTGCCAGGGCAGCACTGCCAGTTCCCTTCAGTGCCATGACTTTCCCGGAGAAGGATGTGCCGGTGCTGCCTGACAGGGCAAGCGGGGGCACAGGAAGGTTACAGCCCCCCCAAGAGCATCCTTGCCTAATAACCAGGGATGCCATGTGCTTGCCCAGGGAGCTGGGGACACGCTGTGTGGTGTAGCGTAGTGGTGAGATATCCCAGCACTGCATATATCCGAAATACTCGGATACAACTCCTTGGATATCTCCTTTCTGCCCAATCCCACTCTCCTCCCTCTGAATCGCTCTGCCCTCCGCTCAGGGAAGGTGAAAAGGGGTTTGTGCTGCTTGCAAGAGCACACAGGAGCTGACCAGGGATATCTGGGGCAGGGGAGGGCAGCCCCAGGCAGCAATTTGGGTGGCAGACCTGTTCGGAAGATGTGGTGAGGATGCCCTGCTGCAGGCGGAAGGTCTGGGCGGGCAGCGTGCGCCGCAGCTGGTTCCTGGTCAGGCAGGACTGGAGCTGCAGCAGGCAAGGGGCTGTCAGCAGCCAGGGGTGCTGGCCCCTGGCCCCGTGCCCCCTCCCCAGCCCACATCCTCCCACCTTGTGCACCGCCTCCTCTGTTTTCTCGGGGTTGCTGCGGTACGCCTGCGCCACGTCGCTCATCGGCAGGGGCATCGACTTGAGGGTGTAATTCCTGCGAGGCAGTGCAGGGGTGAACTGGACCCCTCTGCCTCCCAGGGCTCATCCCCACACCGGCCCAGAGCCCATCCGACAGCAGCCCAGACGTTGCCCCACGGTCCAGTCCTGGAGATGGGGATGGCCAAACTCTGGCCAGCAGCAAACCCCAGTGGGGAGCACTGACCACCTGCCCGGGCTCTCCACCCACCCCTCTTCCTTCAGAGCTCCACAAAACCTATGTGGCCAAACACTGGACCCTGACCCTGCACGGACACCTTCTACCCATTTTCATGATGAGGGAGAAGAGCATCACATCTCCACCACCAGCAGATCCCCCTCCCCCTGTTTGCCGGAGCGTCCTTGGGTGATGTGGGGCTGTGCTGGGAGGCAGAGCTCAGGGGAGACCCTGGGGTAGGTGACCAATGTGCCGTCATCGAATGGGTGGCGGGTTGCCTTGCTGGCTGCAATGCTCAAGCCCTAGACAGACTCCTTTGGGACCTGCGTGATGCACTTACAGCTTCGAGGGGACAAGTGGCTCTGGGGATGGTGACATCCTGACACTAGAGGCTCTTTTGCATGGTGGTAGCAAGCCAGGGGGACCAAGCTGCTTACTCCTTACCTCTCCAAAGCTTGAGCCACCTCCAGGAGCCCATGGGCAGTTGTGTTGTTCCTGTCCCAAACCAGGGTCCTGCAAAAAGAAGGACACAAGTGAGCCTTGCCTGCACCCACGGCAGCCCCAAGGTGGGTGCCCATCTGTGAGGCACTGCAGTGTGCCAGGGAGAGTGAGCCCAAGGCTGACCCCCAGCACCAGGAAGCCTGGAAATAGGGTGAAAAATCTGAACCTCGTGGTTCAAAACCTAAAATTGGATTTCGCAAGGAATTGTAAAGTAGGTGGGTGCCTGGAGGGAGCGACTGGCAAGGAGGACACAGTCCTGGCAGGGGCAGATGGTCTCCCGGAGGAACAACCCTGGCTGGGAGGCCCTTCCCCACTCCCTGTCCCACGCAGACACCCCCCACCTTGCCTTTGCGGGCACAATGTGCTCAAAAAATGGCATTTTAGGAGCTGATGCCTGAGGTGAGGGCAGTGCCTGAAGCATCCCGGGCTGTGCAGGAGCCTGGCAAGGAGCTGGCAAGTGCCAGGGCAGGGATTGAGATGCCCTCTTGCCATTCACGTGCCCACTGTCAGCACTGCTACATGGCTGCCTGGAGACCAAGGTACGGTCACAGTATCCGACCGCGCAACGGGAATGGTCCAGGGCTGCATCCGTGGCCACCAGGAGCCGTGATGAGCCTCCTCTGATGGCATCAGCATCACAAACAGGACCGTCACATCAGGGCCACTTGGCACAAGGTGGGAAGGGCACCCGTGGGGTGACAGGGGCTGCTGCTACCTGAGCTTCGTGTTGATCTGCAGGGCCTTGGCCAGCATCTTGGCCCCCGTGTCACCCACGGCGTTGCCGCTGATGTCCAGAGCGACGAGGCTGGTGTTACTGCCCAGGGCGCTCAGTAGGACGTTTGTTCCCAGCTTGAGGCGTGACTCAGCCACGGACAGGGACTGGAGGGGCTGGAAAGGGGACAAGGAGGGGGAGAGGTGGACCAGGACGTATCAGGATGCGTCACGAATGCAGACACAGCCTCTACCCTTGGCTGTCAGTCACTGGGCTGGCATCTGCCCAGCGCTGGTTTTGGGGAGCCCAAGTCATGCTGAACCCCCAGAACAGGAGAGCATTGGGTGCTTAAGCAACACCCTGGATTTAGCCCAGATTTAGCAGGGAGCGAGGAGGAAAGAGGCTTTTTTGGGAAGCTGGGCTGCAGCCAGGTTACACCAAGCATCTCCTCCATGCCTTTAGCCAGGCACAGGCTCCCGCTTTCCCAGATGAATGGGAACAGCTCTTGCTTCTCTGTCTGAGCATCTGCTTCAGATGGAGGAAAAAGAGAGCAGGAGGATTTCAGTGGCAGTGGGAGGGAGGGAGGTTTGCTCCCAGCCTGTGCTGGGAGGGATCCGGATGGCACCCTGGCATGGAGACTGCACGGTGGTGGTGGAGGGGGCTGGGAGCACGGGGGGATGGCTGGGGAGGTTGAGGGCAAGCCGGACTCACGCAGTCATCCTCCTGGGTGAGCTGGACAATGCGGTGCAGGACATCCAGCAGCCCCTCCCTGCGGGAGAGGTGAGGGGGGGTTATACAGGCATCCCCCAGGGCACAGGGGCTGCCCCATCCTCTCCCTCCTGCTCTTGCCCCAGGCCCTGCAAACCGGGAGCAGGTGACGGTCCCCCCACAGCCCCAGGCTCCTCGTTGGGTTGGAGCAGGTGGAACGGGCAGGCAATCCCCAGCATTCCCAGCTGGCCCATGGGCTTGTATGGGGAAAGGGATGAGCTGGGCGCATGGTGCCAGGATGGCTCCTGGCCTGGGGCACTGCGACTTCGCACTTACTTGGATTTTATGTTGAAGTTTTTCCCCAGGGAGACGTGCCTGATGGACTTGCTTCTGCCGATGGAGAGCACCAGCGTCACCATGTCAGGGTCGAAGCCTGCGAGAGATGGGGACACTCACCACGATGCTCCAAGCTGTCCGGACCACAGAGGGGGCAGCAAGGTGGCAGGGTGATCCTCCAAGGGGGACCTGCAGAGCCACCAAGCTTCCACGTGGGGTGGTAGAGGGATTCCCAGGGCAACTCCTGAGCATCTTCTGCCTGTCCACGGCTCCCCCAAGGAGACCGAAGACCTGCGCAGGGCCGAGGTTGCCAGGGAGTGACCGGGGTCTCTGGGACTCCTGCTATTTCGGGTGCCAAGGCTGTGCTGAGCCTCTTACAGACCTGGAGACGCTAGATGTGCCCTCCATCACCCTGGGCAACATGGAGGAGTTCCCAGAGCTTGCAGACAGCTGCCTATATTCCCAGTCTCATGGCGGTAGCATCCCCAGGGAAGTTCAGCACAGTGACATCCTTCCCACAGGGCAGGGATCTGCTCACCCGGCCATCTATCTGGTCTGCTGAGAGAGCTTAGCAGGGCTGATGTAGGGTTTGGGGCCTTTTAGGTGAAATGCAGGGCTGGCAGAGGTGATTTTGTGATAATTAGGGTTGCTCACCCACGGCTTCAGGCCGCAGGAGGACAAGGTTTGCAGCAGAGGCTGCAAACACCTGCAGAGAGGTGGGAAGAGTTTCAGCCCAGGGAGACCTTTTCGATGCTTCAAACCCTGAGCTAGCAATGCGAGACCCCCTCAGAGTCAACGAGCTGAAGAGTCTTGTACCAAGGAAGATATGAAATGAGAACTTTTGGCAGGTTCTGAGGCAAGAGGAGACAAAGAAATCGCTCCGTGCCCTGTGCCAGAGATGGTGGTGGCTGGCCCCGCAGACGGAGGTCATCTTCCAGCTGGGGAAAAAGCAGCCTACCGTTGTCAGACAGGTCCAGGTCGCTGATGGAGCTGGCGTCAGGAATGAGATCCTGTATGACCTGGGCCCCCGCTGATCTCAGCTTGGAAGAAACAGCAAGACATCAGTACACAGGGAGGCACCAAGCCCTGCAAATAAGATCCTGCCGTCGGGAAAGTCACCCAAATCCCACGGCAGACTTTCCCATGCAGGGAGTGAGCCCCCCACTGCCCCTCGACTGCCGTAATGGGACCCCCTGGCTGGACTGATGGCACCCATGGGTGCTGGCCCCTCACCTCGCAGCTGCTAAGATCCAGGTGCAGGTCAGTGACGTGACTGTTGTCTGCCAGCCCTTGGAGCAGCGCCCTGGAAAAGTCACCAAAGCCACCCATCAGTGCGAGCAAGGGGGACACAAGCACCCTGAGGGCCCAGGCAGCAGGGGGAGGGTGCTGGAGAAGACATCCTTCCCAGAGCTCTGCCTCTCCCAGCCACATCCATCCTCCCTCACCAGCCCTCTCAACATGCAAAACCCTGAGCGAGGTGCCCCCCGGACCATGCTCACCCCAAATCCACTCCCCTTGCTGCCCTCACAGCCCCACCTCACCTTACAGCATCTGCTGGGAGCTTGGTACCCGACAGGGAGACGTGCCTGAGGACACAGGCCTGGCTGAAAAACTCCTTCATGTCAGGGGAGATGGTTTTCACCCTCCTGAAAAGAACGGGCACAATGTGGCATCAGCACCCAGCACCGGCCACCTGCCTGTGTACCCCACTTCTCTGCCCGCCATCCTGGGGACTTACTTGTGGGAGTACACGTTTCTGGAGAGATCCAGATGGACGAGGCTGGTGTGGCATCCGTGGACCAGGGCTCCAAAGAGCTGCCGGGGTGGGGATACGAGCCGTGCTGAGGAGGAGCCAGCTGGTGCCGCAGCCCCTCGTACAGCCCGGGGATGGATGGGTGATGGTATGGGATGAGCTGTGGGGGGTGCTAAGGGGGTTTGCCCTGTGCTGGGGCTCCTTTCTTCACCCCCACCATCCCCAAATTGCCCGTGGCAGTGTGCATAGGACATCACGGGGCTGGTTGCCTGCTGCCCCATGCATGCCCTGTTGCTGCAGCTCTATGCCAGCTGGGACGGGGTGGCAGCACCTCCCAGCAGCACGGTATGGTTTCAGGAGGGGGGCTGAGGGCAGGGGCTCACTGCCAGGTCCCCCTGCGTGGGTACTCACAGGATCCAAAGGGCAGTCTGTGCCAGCCAGGCTGAGGTGGGAGAGCGAGTGGCAGTGGCGGAGAAGACACTGCAGGTTCTGTGGGCAGAGGGGGCTCAGTGGCTTTGCCCAGGACCCTGATATCCCCCACCCCTTACCCTCCCCAGCACCCTGCGAGCCCAGAAATCCCAGCTCCAGCTTGTCTCCTCCCTCCTGCTGAGCACAGGGATAAGTCTTGAGGGACCCAGCCCAGCTCCAACCCTCTTGCTCGGATACCTCCTTGCTCCAGGTTGTATCTCCCACCCTCTTGCAAGGAGACACAGGGGACATCCCCAGTGCATCTCCCAGGTAGGCAGGGGGTGTCACAGCCGTGACTTTCCTGTCCCTGGGGTGCTGCAAGGCAGGATGCAGACCCCAGGAGACTGAAGCCATCCAAACCATGCTGGGGACAGAGCCCGGGTGGTGCCACCCCATTGCAGCCCAGGCACTCACACTGATGTCGTCCCCAGCCAGGGTGCTGGGGTTTCCAGAGAGGTCCAAGTGCCAGAGGGAGGATCCAATGGCTTTGTTGTCTGCGAGGGCCTTGCATAACATGCTCATCCCTGCTCGAGGAGAGGAGAGATAAGTGCCCATGGGTCCCCTGCACTGGTGAGAGATGCAGAGAAGGGGAAGGGGCACTTTCCTACAGCTGGGGCAACAGGACACCAAATCCTTGAAGACGCTCTTTCCAGGTGTCCCTGCAGCCCCTCCAGCCACCCCTTTAGTGCCAGCTTGTCTCCAGACTCCCAGTGGTGCCAGGGCCGGGAGCAGGAAGCCGGGCTGTACCTTTGGCAGTGAGCAGCGTCCTGGCCAAGCTGAGGCTCTGCAGACCCTTTGGACTCTTCTCCACATGCCGGCTGAAGGCAACAATCCCTGAGGAAAGAGCAGAGAGCCCTGAGTGACCGTGCCAGTGCAGGTGGGTGTCTGTCCCACCCTGAGCAACAGCCCCCCCGGGGCAGGGCACAGCTGCTGCTGGGATCTGGAGCTGAACATCCATTTTCATGGGTGGAAACTTATCCTGGCCTAGGAGTTGGGTACCTCTGTCTTCCAGCGGGTTGCCAGCAAGGTTGATAGTGTGCAGGACAGAGTCGGGGTGATTGCTGAGCACCTGGGCCATCCTCTGTGCAAAGTCACTGTGGGCAGAAGGGTCACCCATCTGAGCAAGGTATGGCCACCAACCCCGTAGCCCTGTGGGGACGTGCCACCAGCTCCTGCTCACATGGCAGAGCCGGCTCCATCCGAGCAGCCAGCAGAACCCCTGGCACATGGATGCCCCTGCTCATCACCACGACAGGGCCCTGCGATGCCTTTGCTTACGCTTTCAACCCGCTGTTTTCCAGCACCAGCTCCTCCAATGTCACCGATTTGCTGAGCATGTAGAGCAGCTGCTCCGAAATCTCCTGGTTCTGGCACGGGAGAAGAAAGCTTGTCTGGAAACCTGGCCACTGCCAGCGCGCCCGGCACCACTGCGCCGGCACTCACCAGCCTGAAGTCCTTGCAGGAGAGCTTGGTGAACCACAGGTTGAAGGACAAGGCGGCGATGCTGAGTGCCACATCTCTGCAGGGTGACAAGGACGAGGGAGTTAGGGGCTGGGCTGAGCCTGGTCCCAAATGGGTGCCCCCAGACACCCAACCCCGGGATGCCCCCGAGTTCAACAGAGTATGACTGGGGTCGGTGAGTTTAATGCAGCCCACGGCCACAGCTCAGCTTCCCCAGACTATTCCCTCAGGGAAAATAAAGTTCATAAAGATATTTGCAGGCTTCTGTCAAAACATCTGGGGGTTTCCCTTTTGAATTCTGAGCTCTCGTGTAAAGAACAACACAGGTTTTGCCCAACTGGAAACATGTTTCGGCTGAACCCTTGCTCTGTTTTTCTCAGGATGAAGATGCGGCTGAGCCCCACGGGGATGAATCCAGGCCCAGCCAGAGCTCACAGGTTGAGGTTGAGGTTGAGAACCCGCTATGAGGTTATAACCCTGTAAGAGCTATTTGTTATAGATATTTGTATATGCGAGAGGGAGCAGCACTGGCTGCTTTGCATAGGGAAACACCTGACAGCCACGAGCTGCCAGAAGC